TGGGGAGGGTGGGTAATTTACAGTCTGTGTTGATGGTATTAATACTTTCTGGCTTCTTAGTCATCACAGTTAAAGAGGTTTAACTACAGAGAGACTCCCAGCAACTTATAGGGATGATTTTCTAAAGACATAAGAAATCTGGCTCCATGTCAAGCAGGAGCTCAAACAGAGCGCTCTCAAGAACTTTAGCGTTTCCAAATGCGTTTTCGAAAATTATCTCCATACATCGACTCCATGTTTTTCCAGTTACATAAGTAAAGTGAATGAGTCACAGACAGACATAAGGCTGAAATGTTTGAGAAGCACAACGTGCTCAAACCCCTCGTGTCATGCCTGAGAAGTGTGGGGCTGACAGAGGTTAAGTGGGAGAGGAAGTTACGGATGCGTTATAAATAGAATCCTAAAATTTATAGTAAAGCTATTTGAAGAAAGTAGAACAGACTGGCCGGTTCTATTTTGGCTCAAAGAAGGTCGTCTTAACTCTAAATACCCCGTGGGTCCTACATCTATTTTTGCCGTTGGCAGCAGCGAAACCTTGTTGAATCTCTGAAAGCAATGAGTTTGCCAATGGATTAAATTGCCTAATTTGGCAATCTTGGGAAGGGTGAGCACTACCAGTTCCTGCAGCCGTATCTACAGGGACAGCTCAGTATTCCTCACCGCGAGGCTTTATGGGTTTCCTGACCTAGTTTGAGATGCTCCAGAAATGAAACGCATCTAACATTCCCGCAGAAAGACTCTTTCCTGGCAGATCACGTTGAGGTGTCCTTTGTTTTTCGAAGTCCAAAAAATATTTGAATCCCCTGATTTCTCCAGACGACTGTCCTGTGTTTTTACATGTGAAGGATAAAAAATTAAGAGTACGTTAGATACCCTCTACTAATCCAGCAGACTCTGAAGAAATACAGTTGAGACCTAAGGAAGACTTTGAAGAAAAAAATAAGCCAGTGATGATGGATGTTCAATCACTGATAATTATACAGAGTGTTAAACTAGGATTATTAATAGGTTTAGAGTGACGGCATCGTCTGTTGAATTTCTTCTCTTCCTAGACAGTTTTAGAATTAAATATATAGTATGTGTATTAAAAGGCTTGTTTTCCATTGCTGCCATAGCAAATTAACACAGACACAATGGCTTAAACCAACACAAGCTTATTATCTACAGTGGTCTAGGTCATAAATAGGTCACACAGGCTCTGCTGGAATGAAATCTAAGTGTCAGTAGGGCTGTATTACTCCCCGAGGCTCTAGGGGAGATGCATGGTTTTGCCTCTTGCAGCTCTGTAGGGGCCGCCCACATTCCTTGGCTCGGGGACCCTTTCTCCATCTCAGGGTCAACAGGGTCAGCAGCCATGGCTGCAGTTCTCCCGTTGCATCTCCCTGACTTCCTTCATAGGTGCCTCCTTCTCCCCGACTCTCTTCCTCTGTCTCCCTCTTCCATTTGTAACCATCTTTTTGACCACATTGGGCTACCCCATCATCCAGGATAATATCCCCTGGGTCGGTAACCTCATCTCATCTTTGAAGTCTCCTTTCTCCATGTAAGGTGAGGTAGACACAGGTTCTGGGGTTTAGGATGTAGACACCGTTGGGAGCCATTCTGAGGTCATGAAGGTATTCAGTCAAAATCTTTACCTCTAGATCTCATCCAAATCATCCAGTTTCTTGACAAGTCTATTACAACATCCATTGGCTTCTTTATTTGTCAGCTTCCTTTAAGTTGGTGTGTGATGATGAAATGCCGGGACACCTGCACCCCGATGTTTCTAGCAGCCATGTCCACAATAGCCAAATTGTGGAAGGTGCCTCGGTGTCCATCGAAAGATGAATGGATAAAGAAGATGTGGTCTATGTATACAGTGGGATATTCCTCAGTCATTAGAAACGGCAAATACCCACCATTTGCTTGGATGTGGATGGACCTGGAGGGTATTATGCTGAGTGAAATAAGTCAATCGGAGAAGGACAAACATTTATGGTCTCATTCATTTGGGAAATATAAAAAATAGTGAAAGGAAATAAAGGGGAAAGGAGAAAAAATGAGTTGGAAATATCAGAAAGGGAGACAGAACATAAAGACTCCTAACTCTGGGAAACGAACTAGGGGTGGTGGAAGGGGAGGAGGGCGGGGGGTGGGGGTGACTGGGTGACGGGCACTGAGGGGGCACTTGATGGGATGAGCACTGGGTGTTATTCTGTATGTTGGCAAATTGAACACCAATAAAAAATAAATTTATAAAAAAAAAGTTGGTGTGCGATGAAGGAACAATTGACTTTATAGTGTAAGGTCGCTATTAAATGGCAGCTTTGAGATTAGCCCAGGCCTGTGGAATGAGACAGAAAAAGTCACAACTGCAAAGACTATGTCTTATATAGAACAACCCCGACTCAACACCCCAAACAAAGAGGATGTGATGATGTGTTTATTTTCCACAGACAAATTAGGAGATCCATGCACATTAATCCACTCTGGAGTGTGACTTGTTTGCATGGCTTGACTCTAACCATGGACAATGAATTATATATATATATGTATACGGCCTCACGTTAGTTTTTGTATAAAGTGAATCTGTAATTACATATTTTTGAAGCTAGTTATACTATCTTGATATACATCATTGATTATTTAGGTAGTATTTAGGTCGTATTTATAATACTAATTATCTACCTTCCCAGTATTTTTACAAATTGCCTCATATATACCAAACCGAAGGTCAGCAGATCACGGTCCATAGGCCAAATCTGGCCTATAAATAAGAACGATGTTGACATTGTTCAACGTTTGGTTCCATCAAAGAAGAGTAATAATTATCTTTCTCTGGCTGACTTATTTCACTTAGCATCGTATACACTAGTTTCATCCATGTCATTGCAAAGAGCACGATTTCATTCTTTTTATGGCTGAGTAATATTCCATTACATATAAAACTTTGGGGTTGGGTGACTTCACCCATATGTGTAATATAAGAAACAAAGCAAATGAACAAAGGGGACAAAGAGGGAGGGGCAAACCAAGAAACAGACTCTTACCTACAAAGAACAACTCTCCAACAGCAGAGGTGAACAGTTGCAGCGGGGGCCGCGTGAGTAGTAAACCCTCAAATATGTCTGTCTGGCCCTTTAGAGATGAAGCGTGTTGATTAACACAGAACTGGCATTTTTGTGGGTAGAGGTGTGGAAAACATGGTAGGCGAAGAGGGGATTTATTTACGTGCAAGGCTAATGTTGATACACAACTAAAATGCAATCGCATGCAGCTTTTGAGAGCAGAACCACCTGAAAAGAACCTAATTAAGAAAAAAAAAATACTTTTAAAGCCACAACAAATAAACATGGGATTGGGTTATGAAATTTTCAGCGAGTACATGTAGGTGAGCTGCCTAGATTCTGAGTTTTTGAATTCAGAAGTTACTTATCTCCCGGTCATTGTCAGCATTAGGCAAAGAGGTAACCTATATCTAATAGAATTTGTAACATCGGCTCCCCAAGGGAAGCAGGTGCTGGGAGAGGGAACCTTCCAACAAAATATCAGAATAATGAAATGTTCCCTGGAAGCAGCTATATGCGACTGCGGCGGTTAGAACCACATCAATCCAAGCAAATAGGCAGATCTGAGTGGTGTATTTCCTCTCACAGAAGATTATTTCAAACAGTGACATAAACACTGTCGCAATTGGTTACAGTCAAGGCTTGGCTTTTAACTTTAAATGGATCCTGCACATTTTTAAACCCGAGATTTCAAATTGAACACCCCGACATCAGAAAGCTTGCCTACATATTTCACTTGATGCTGGTTTTCCTCTGGGTAACGGAGTGAGGAGGGAATCGCTCTACCTGCCACCCCGGGCCCGGTAAACCCAGCACCCCGAGTAGCGCTTGCAGCCTGAGCCCGCAGCCCTGGTGCGCACAGGCCAGCCCCGCCCGGGGCAGCCAAGGTTTCAGCTGCCAGCAAGTTGCTCACACCTTTCCTGATCATCTGCACTAACAAGCATCACTTTGAAGATAGATTTGGCAACTGAGATGCAAGATGATTACACGATGCACAACCACAGGTGGCATTTAAAACGTGCGTCAGGGACACTTACACACGTATCCATATCATCTCCGTCAACCAGGCCCTGATGGGAGTGCTCTCGGGCCCAGTTTCCAGACTGGAAAGTAGAGGCTCCGATGGCCTGGCAAGGCGGAGCCGCACACAGCGGCCTGTGTGAGGCACCCAATCCAGCAACACTTCTGCCTTTGGCCAAACCTGACCTGTAGCTGGGTCCCCTTCAGACCAGAGCTTGACCACCCGAGAAGACGCAAGGTCTTTAGTCGGAAGTAGATCCCCCCTGTTTCTAACAACTAAAGGCCCCAGTGAGACGGAGGGTGGGAGCCCGCACAGCTTTGGCAGAGAGGGAGCGCGTCTGATTTTGAAAGATTTAACTGTGCTCTATAGACGGCTTTGCCCAAACATGATCTTATTTCATTCCAAATCTCTTTGGCAGTGTTTGCCATCATCCCCCGAAACACTGCTCTCCTTCCCGTGGGGGGGAGGGCCCCAGCCCTGGATTCCGTGGATGGGACCCTAGACACAGGGGATGCTATCCAGCGTGACAGACAGTGCAGATGAGGACACTTCAGGTGAATCAGAATCACGGAGCGTTTCAAAGAGTAGAGGGCAGGGGGGACCACATGCCTATTTCTTATCCTTGTATACTTCATTCTGATGGAGGGCCTGATGACAAGAATTCAGTGATCAAAATGATATCTGCTCACTTATCCATCATTCATAAAGAGAATAAAGATGCCAAGTCTGGGTGAAAGGCTTCGTCCCATCAAGGGTGACTGTCGCGCTGTCGCCTGAGTCCTTTCTGGGCCTGAGGGCAGCTTGTCCATGACCTCTGCCCCAGGACCTCAACCTGACAACTGTTGGTACTAAGTTGTGAAAGCAGCTCGGCTCTAGCACAGTTGCTCTGTTGGTTTACAAGGGAGATTTTTTCTGCTTCTCTCCTCCAGGCTGACTGGCATGAACCTCCCTTCTCCCGTCATAAGTAGCAAGAACTGGCTGCGACTCCACTTTACATCAGACAGTAACCATCGACGCAAAGGATTTAACGCACAGTTTCAAGGTAAGAACGCCCCGTTGGGTATGCCACAGACGAGTGGGAGGTATTTTGGTCTCTTCACCCTCAAACTTTAGGATTCTGTTGCTGGAGATGGAGCAAGAGATAAAAGTTTAAAAGTGCCCTCTAGCTCTTGGATGAAAAATTAACTTTGGAAATTCTCCAGATACAACTAGCAAACTTCCCCGTGAAGCTTTATTATTGTGGCCGTATGTAATGTATTTTGTTGTTCTGCTTGAATTATTACCAAGGTTTAATCAGTAAGTTGGTAAATATGTAATAGCATTCATCGTAATCCGTATACACCTAACCAGAAAATAGCTATACTTGTCAGGTTGCTTTCTTTATCCACTCGCCAAAAATGGCACAGCATATAGGTTGCATGAAAATGCATAAGCGCATCATCGTATCACTTGCAGCTGTAAAATATATTCCCAGTACATAAAGCCAGCTACCTGCTTTAATAATTTACAGGTAAGTGAACATCAAAAGAAAAAAAACAGGAGGGTTCTTTTGTTTTGTTTTGTTGTTTTTTTTGTTTTGTTTTTAGCTGAGTGAAATGAAGCCTGTAGTCACTGGCATGAAGGTTGGATTTTGAAATTTCCTCTTTGTATCAAATGTCTTGTGTTTATACCTGGATAGTATTGTATTGTTGCCCATACATATTTTTTTAAGATTTATTTGAGAGAGAGAGAGAGAGCAGGGGAGGTTGCTGAGGGGGAAGGAGAGTGATAATCGCAAAGCTGATTCCCCTCGAGACCAGAGCCCAATAGGGGGCTGGATCCCAGGATCCTGAGGTCACAACCTGACCTGAAATCAAGAGTCACCCATCTAAGCGACTGAGCCACCCAGGTGCCCCTCCCATATGTTTTTAATGATCAAAGATCCTTATAAATACCATTTAAAGGATTCAACTTATTAGGGGACCCATTGAACACAATTCCACTTTCCATTTTCAAGTAACAATAGTAAGACTGTGTCAGAAAGCAGGAAGTGCTCCCAAGCAAACTTCTCGTGCTTCCCCCAAATCATGACTGTGAGGATTATAGTTCATTTATGACCACATCCCCTGAACACTTGCCACATGCAAACCAGGACCCCAAGATAAGGAAATTATAAGAAACCCCATGTTCCAGAAACTAGTAGGTCAGAAAGACTGTTTGCACACAATCCCCATGAAAGGCAGAATGAGAAGTGAAATCATGGTAGCCATTTCGGGAGATTTTAGTAATGTTCCAAGAAATGGCCTGAATGTGTCCCATCTAAAACACATTTTAAAACCCATAAGGCCTTCATTGTGTCCTTTTGGACAAGAAATAGAAAACTAAGAGTAATTTGCAGGGAATTAAATACAGATGGTGCTGAGGAGCACACATGGAGGTGAGCAGATTTTATTTGCCACCTGGGTCCCTGGGGCATGAGAACCTTCACAGAATGTGCCTGGCTTAGAAGGCAGGGCCAATTTTGTTTTACCAAAATGCAGCTTATCTATCCATCATCAAGATAATTGCCCACCTCACATTGTCTTCTGATGCTGCCAGAAAGTTCTTTCTTTTATCCTCATTCACTGCAAACACACTGCCTTCCAAGTTTTATAGGAGCCATACTAATTTGTTTCTTTTTCTTGGACCTGGGCAAGACTGATATCCATTTTCAGACCTGCCTCTACTTGCCTTTATCTTTTAAGGCCATATACTATGTCTGTCGTCATCATTCAGTGCGTATGTAATATAGGATATGTATATAGAGTAAGGAAGAACACAATGGGGGTGCGAGGTGGGGTCACACGGGGACGTGGTAGGTGGGGGTATGAAATACTCCACGTGGTCTTGTAGGAAAGTCTATCTGAGTCTTATCTATGTCAACCCACATCCACAGATATATCAATTCCTTAGAACAATCATAAATTAATATTCAGAAGGCAAACTGATGGACCAATAGGTTGGCAGGTAGATCAATAGAGTCATTTCTAAACCGTTGTTTGATTTCCAAAGGTCCTGATCTTAATTAATAGATAGGCATTGAACTACAGAAAAAAAATCCTAGGTATCATTCTTCCAACCTGATCAGTGAATTTGGCATCTGTACCAGTGGTTGGAAGAAAGACCAAAAGAATAAAATAGCAAATTTGAAGAGGCTCCAAATTGGTAGATATAAGTAGCATTCTAGTTGTCAGAAAATTATAATAGCTTAAACATATCAGCCCCTGATAAAGAAATAAGTAAATATACGTAATAATCAATTATATATAACGACATATACATAATTACATACATATACGTTAAAGAGTGATGACTAGAAGACTTGCACAAATCCAAAGATATAAAAAGGTGAAGAAATTTAAGAAGGATTGAATGTGGCTTAACAGTAAAACATCTTCAGATTGACTTTAAGGTTCCACTCCAAGACAAAATGACTTCAGGGAGCTGCCATATTTTTACCGTCATTAACACATAGACCTTATTTCAAAGGTGGCATCATGCCTAAGACCATACCTAAGCACACCATATACAGAAGATTGGGGTCAGTACCAGAGGTTACCCTTTTGAGAAGAAAACCTACCAAATGGAGAATGATGTCAAGAACCCTTCAAAAGAGGACAGGAGCACACTTAGGAGTGTGGTAAATGTCATGTAAGAAGGCATCACATTTATTGTTTCTGGTCCAGAGGGCAGAAATATCACTAATTAAGCTACAGGTGGTCCTTCCTGCTGATTCCAGAACAAGCCTATGGGCTCAGAAGGCAGGAGATGGAGCGGTAGCTCAGGATGAGGTGGGTCCCTGCTCACAGTCTGCCATCAGCCACCCGCCTGACCCTCTGTCTGCGTGACTGCACAACCAGGAGCAGTCACGGTTTTCATCCCACAGGCCGGTGGGAACCTTCCTGGCACACATGGGGAAAATGGGCTGTTCATCTACGTCTTCCCTTTATTCTCTGCCTAGATTAAACTCCAGGGAACCTCAATTTATATTGTACTTTTGTTTCAACTAAACAACAACAACAACAACAACAACAAAAACACTGTTATTACCAACACAACTGCAAAAAAGAAAAGCATAGTAGACGAGCAATCCAGAAAATCAACCAGAAAAACAATAGTAGTCGAGGGAACGTACATAGTGTTTACCAAATGCTGTTTTGATGTCTATGCGTATATTTTGTCAAAGAATCTGAATCTTGGATTAGTTGGGGGAGGAGAGGAACACCTTTTTAGAATTTTAGAAGCAAAATATTAAAATATTAATATTTTATATTAAAATAGTATTAATAATGCAATAAATTATAATAAGTAATATCAATAATATAAATTAATTATGATTAATATCGATAATATTAATTAATTATAATTAATAATTAATAGTATTATTAATAATATGTTAATATTAAAATATTGCCATGCTCGCTGCCTTTTACATATACTTATAGTCATATTTGTCACTTGTGGTCACTACTGAGGATATACAACCTCCATCAGTATTCCCTGGGGTAAATATGATTGCAAATTACATGGGATCCCTATAAAAATCCTATGTAATTCTAAGCCTAATGAAGCCTTCTGGTGATAGCTCTTGGTGACAAAAGTGCTTCTCTGTTCAGGAGTCCCATGCCTCAGAAGACTTTTGTAACTCCTAACAACAAAGCATATCTTCTTTTTTAACTTGGTGCTTTTTGTGGCCAGATAAACAACCACTGTAAAATGAGTCTTCGACTTTCATGTCTACATTCTTTATTCTTTGAATTCTACGCTTTGTTCTTTGGCTTTTATCTCTTCAATCATGCTATCAAATTATTCCAAAAGTAGTAGTGAGCTTGATTGACAAGACTGCTCTGTAGTTGCTACTCCTAAAATATATTCGCTTTGGAAATAACATTGTGAACAAAGAGGTGGCAAATGCAATAAAAGCCACTTGATGTATTTGCAATATCTTGTGCATATACTGGGTTCTCGTGGAATGACAGATTTATGTGGGACACATTATTTCTTTAAATCAGCTGAAAATTGAGCCCATTTTTTATATGTTGCCTCCATCATTAATTATAATTAAATAAGTGCCTTGTTAGCACAATCAGTCATGTAGACATTTTTGATGTCTACAAGATGGATTTTTTAAAGATATATTAATATTGAACCACAAATGCCTCTTTCCTATTAAGTAGCAATATGTGTTGAGCTCCAGTTTTACATATGTTTATCTGGCTATTTATAAAAATACAATTTTCACAAAATGAAATTTCCATTGATTTCTGAAACCAATAAATCATTTTGAGTGTTTGTAATAAAGTCCCAGTTTATATAGAGAACACCTGTCTCATAAATCAAGGGGAAACCTGACCATGGATTTAAATCTTGTGTTGACACAAATAATTAGCTCTGTTTTTAGGTGATAGCTCTATATAACCAATAATTTTACTTTTTATTTAGAGTGGCGAGCTTTATATAAAACGAGGGTGTGTGTGTTCTTAAATATATGCCTTGGAAAACTGGGAACTCGATCTTCTCAGATTAATCCAAACTTGGATGACACATATGCTTGGTCATTCTCCAATGCTCACCCGAGATACACCTGCAAAAGCTCTCCCTGAGGTGATAGACATGGGTCCGTCTCTCCCTTTAGAACAGTAATCTTGCAAAATAGTAAAGGCTGTAATCTGGAACCCAGAAGACCCTCAATTAATATATGTTGAGGACAAGAAGGAGATTAAACCAGCTGCTCATGGCCTCCCCACGGCCCCCGGGACCACTGGTGGGCAGAGCTCGTGAGATGCCCTGCATGTGGACCTTGCTCACCTCTATGACAGGGACACGGTCTACTCCTCTCAGGAGACCTTTCGGGTAGGTAGGGACACATCGAGTTTTAACCAAAATAAGTTAGTGAATTCTGATCTCATACCATCTGATTAATTCTGAAAACCTCTAACCCTCTAACAGGAAAATAGCCCCTAATATACATAACTTCACTCAAGTCAGATACACTAGCACCTTCCCTTAAGCATGCATGTTAAC